CAACAACATGACACTTCTCTGTGACTTCATGCATTAAAACATGAGTGAATGATCAGACATGACAACACGATGCAGCCAGGGGTGGGTGATAAACCACAACCCAGTGACGGCTAAGCTTTCATCTTTCATGTAGCACACAGTCCCCCCTCATTTACTGTTTTGGGCCATTCCAATTTCTGAACACATAAACTCTCACTTCCCACAAAACTGAACCTAATAGAGTCATTTGGATACCAGGGTTGATGGACTGATAACTAAATGATCAATGACAAGTCTCAAATAAAGCTTTCAGTTCTCGTGGGTGGTGTATATGTGACTACCCCCCTTTTTCGTTTCATTATTTCCCAGATACGGACAATTTCTGGATTTTACCTTGACCTTTCTATTTGGTTCAGGCCGAGACAGAAAAAATTATCACTCAGTATCATCAATCACAAGCTCCCATTTGACTGACTGACTGACTGACTGACTGTGGAAACCACTGAAGGACTGAACAGCAAACTGAGAGTCAAAGGAGCAATTTGTCACGTCAACATCCAAGAGTGATGCTGCAGGGAGATGGGTCCCATCTGTTCACACTCACATTAAAGTATCCTCTGCTTCGTGATATACAGAAGAAAAAAAGAAAAAAAAAGAAAGACAGGCCATTGTTTTTTGTAAATAATTTGTGTGGAGGACTCTGACTTCTTTCAATAAACAGCTAAATACAATTAAGTACAACGCCTGTGTGATTACGTAGGAACCTGAGAACCTCATCGTTAGAGACCAGTCTGCTGTGTAGAGTGTCAGACTCTTGACTGACAAGCTGTCTAATGTAGTCCTAACATGCCACCACATGCACACCTGAACCTTACTGGAAAAAAGAACCTTCAGTTCTCCATGTCACACAAAGAAAACCTGAAAAGATTTCAGGCAAAAGCCAAACAGTCCTGAGCACACTGAGTTCTTGTGAATGCAGCTTGTGTCCGGGGGTTTCGACAGCACTCAAGTCAGCACGCAGCTGCTCACACCTACAAAGTGCAACACAAGTGTGCAAAATCACTGTTCTTTTCCAAATTGCTGCTTTTCCGTTACCTTGGTAATGATTACCAAACCCTTTAGTCAGTTACTGGTATCTATTTATCATAAAAGAGACCATCTGAGCTTACTCAGGTAATGAATTTCTGGAAAGGACAAATTGCAGAAAGTCATACATGTACACTTTTTCCCTTTTGTCGCACTATAATGATTGTGTTCATGTTGAAGCACAGAGCCTGCATGCATGAGAACACATCATTAGAAAAAGATGATAGGTTTCCATTACTGGTGGTCAGAGGTGTAGATGATAAGTGCCTGAGACTGTATGGCCTGGGATTAGAAGTTAAAAATACCCTTTTTAAAGGCAGAATTGTAAGGTTCTGGAGTACAAAATAAATAGACGTGGTGACCATTATATACAATTAGAAAAATTAAGGTCAAATTTCTGTCTACATAAGGGGCTTACATAAGACATGCAATAGATTTGAGACGTGGATTAACATGAACATTTCAAATGCAACACATACATTAATCTACAAACTAACATGAATGTCTGTTTCTACCAAACCTCAGTGTGTAAATGAATGAACCAAACAGTCTCCACAGATATACCCCTCGAGTCTAGCCTCTGGCATAACTATGCGTGAGTTTTTTTGTTTTTTTTTAAAAACAAATTAAAGCTGGCATTTTCAGTGTTTCTTCTTCTATTTGCAACTTTGAGTTTAACAGCATCTGAATACATGTGAATGTCAAATACATTGTTTGGATTTTTTTCACGCAACTAGGCAAGAATAAACTTCTTTGAATCAGTGCAGACAGAGAAAGAAGCTAACTAAAATTATATTGCAAGGAAATGGGCATTTAAAAAAACTGTTTTTTTCAATAACAGCCTTGATAAATCTGTGATGGACTGGCGGAGCGTCCAGGGTGTACCCTGTCTTTCGCCCATTGACCACTGGGATAGGTTCCAGTCACCCCATTAGGGAATAAGTGGTTACAAAAAATGGATGGATCTACGATACAAATGCATCAGTGGATGCAATATTCTTTTCTAAATAAAACACAGTCTTGGCATTGCATTTTAGTCAAAATCCCTTATAGAAATACATTTTCAGAATAGTCCTAGAGTCATTTGTAACATCATTTCTTTCACTTCTTGCTCCCCCCTTTTGAGCAAAAGCCTTGCAATGCGTGATGTTTGATGATGTCTATTAATGCACTACTCATTTCAAATTCTCTGAAAATATTTCAGTGGACATATTCCAGTACACTGTTTCTGTTTGAGCCATTCACTGACTGATTTATTTCTGTGCTGGAAATGATAATCTTTGAAAGTTTATTTCCAGTCCATCTTCAGTTTTCTGCCAGTTGGGCCCGCATTGTATTTAACACTGTTATTCTATTCAAGAATTTGGAGTTAAATCAGCTGCTTTATGCTTACAAGCCCATAATACTGTGAAGTATAATCATAACATTTTCATCTAAATACATGCCTTTGGTTTGCACTATATATATATAGATATACACACACACATATATATATATATAGTCTTTTCTAGAGTCTTAACAGTAGATAGTATCATGATGACAGAGGTCCCAGTCATTTTACGATGATAAAGTGATCTGATCAGCAAGGCGCTGATCAGTACTATCTAAAGTCTAATGAAAATAACTACTTTCTGTTTTTTAAATAATATTCAAAGGCATCTACGGGTGATAAAATTGATTTTAGCCCTGAAAAGTTTAAATCTGGACCCATAATTAGGCCATCACAACAGTGAAAGGTGTAAATGTCAATTCTAAATACAAAACAGATAATGAATCCTGAATGTTGAACTTATCATTTTGGATAGATGTGTGATCAAAGATGACACCTCAGATTTAGGCATGTGCATCCCTAAACCGACAGCACCCCAAAGACGTTCTGTGCACAGAATGTTTACATATCAGAGTTGTAGAGTTCACAGTTATATTATTGACCCCACCCAGACTTTCATCTATTTCAATATCCAACAACAAAGGGGACAAATTACTAAAAGATGCTTAACAGTTTGATTAAACTTTGTCAAATAGTATGAACCCAAATTCACAAAGGATCAAGAAGTTTAACACTTAGTAGATGCAATAGTAAGTCCATGGCTAAAGGCAGAACAATTATAATAAAAAGAAAAACAAATACAGATTGCAATATGTAAACGAGACTATTACTTTCAAAACTCATCAGGACATCATAATTTGTTTTTCACAAATCCATTCCAGAATGCACTAAACAGATGTCAAGTGAAGCCTTAAAATGGATCATTAAGACACACTAAACATGTAACCATATTAAGATAATATTATGGTGTTCTAAGATATGTTATTAATGACAAAATACAAGCTTTAAAGTCTAAGGCCATCAGCAATAATTCAAGTGTCCAACCAGAAGTTATTCCACTATCATATATGCAGTTTTAGTATGCCGGTTTTAGGGTGTATTGCTATTGAGTATTGATTGTTATGGACAGGAGGCTTAAACTATCTTTATATAGTGAAGATGTCTGTTGAAACTAAACTATTGTCACATTCAGTTCTGGTTAGTCAGTGTTTCTGACCATAAACAACCTGAACATAATTTGAATAGATTTGAATATGACAGTTGTACAGCTCTGGGGATTCCACCTGAATATGTTTGTAGGGCCAACTGCAGGTGTGCTGACATGCCAGGCCGTCAGTTTAGAAATGAAGGCAGGTTAATAACGTACAGGAACAAGGTTGTTCTGCTGAACAGTCATAAACAATGTGGTCAAATATAAATGAAACTTTACGGTAAATGAACATTTGCAGAACCAGAATAAATGTTATAAATTAAGATGATTAAAATCAAGTTGACAAAGGAGGAGCAAGAACCTAATCCTGTTTTTTTATCAACTGAATAGGCAACGATGTAGTGATAACAAATATTAGTATTCAGTGTTAGCATCAGCTGACTATGACAGTGTTTACACTGATTCCAATATGAGGCTGTCTGTCCTCACAGCACAGAGACACGGTTAAGTACATATTCCTCCACTATCTGGGAATATGAATGATAATCAAAATAAAATAGTTAGGAAGTTGTTAAAACTGTAAGTGTAAAATTAATTCTAATAGACCATTATTCCATTTACAACAAACCACAGCAAGTATGTAAATGTTGAAAGTCATACATTTTGGAGTTCGAAAACAGTTTCCAGCTATCCTTGAAAGTTATGTCAGCAACACAAGATCCCAGCTATCTAGCATCCTCTTAGCTTTTAACAACCATATGTAAGAGTCCAGGAACTGAGAGGGAAAGATTCTCCTCCAAATAGGGGAGACAAGGTTCGGTATTCCCCTATTGTCCACTTGCAGCTAATTGCAGCTAATCACCAGTCCCAGAAACCAGACTCATTTTCAGTTTTTCATGTTTTTATTCAAATCTTGACATGCTGTTTTTCATTTATACGTAGTACAATGTCCCAATTGTTTAGAACTGGGGTAATATGGACTGCAACACTGACAATTTCTACCTCCATATTAATAGTGAAAATCTTGGAAAAGGGAAAAATGACCTACAGACAAATGTCCCCTGTTAGAAGAAGTATCCTACAAATGGACTTCAGTGTTATGCCATTGCAGCTAGTCTGTTAGTTTTCAGCCTTGTCAGCATACTTGACGTTTAAAATTAAATTTTATAACCTAAAGCTTTTCATTCACACGAAGTTAAAAAAAACAACTTAAACATGCTGTGAAAACATTTTCATCCTTGTCATGTCTACCAGCCACTCAGCAGTAGCAGGCCGAGGAGAGGTTTTTTTTTTGTCATAATGCATTATCTTTAGCTGAAATTTCAAAGAGTTTTCTCCTCGTAATTTTAGGCCCCAAACGCACCTCCCGCAGCTTAGAGACTAGTACAAATGACTGTGTCCAGCTTTGCTGCCAAAATGGTGTGCATGTTTCATCACTCACAGTATGCCACTCACCATGGTGCAGCTGCCCTCCGCGTCATCGTCCAGCAGGTCCAGTCTGCACAGAGCCTTTTCATTCCTCAGCCAGTACTCCGACGAGTCCAGCACCCCGTTACTGCACACAACCTGCGGCACACAGACAAACCCTGCTCAACATGGAAAACACACCATTTCCAGACATACATGGAGGGTATGATTACATGCACAAACACACACACACCTTTGGATTCATCTATTGGCTTTCATCTGCCATGTTTCGTCTTTGGATTGATAGAATCAAGTGACCTTTCTCCAGAAGCGATATTTCGGTGTAAGTGTCTGCAGTACATGATTAATAATCTGCCAGCAAACCACACACTGTGCTAAAGATGTGGAACGGTTATTTGAGTAACACTTTGATGACATCTGCATTTCCAAAGACAGTTGACGTAGAAAGCCTGTGACAAAAATCAAACGTAATATTCCCCTTATGCTTAGCCCTGTGATTTATTTTGCACTATGGCAAATTTGTTCAGCGAATTAAGAAGGAAAAATCTACCTTTGTGCTTCATATCCATATTTCACAGTTCACACAACCTAAGTATAGTCGGTAACATCACACTGACTCACGCTTCAACAAAACTGATCTCATGGAGTAACTTTGGCACATGACACCTGCATGTGCTTTGCCTTTTAACAGTGGGTATTTTTAGTGACGTGTCGCGGTCCCTACATCCTTGCACCTTCTGGAATAGACCATCTGTGCAGGCCTTTGGCCAGGTAAACGTGACACAGGCTCGGCTGAGCTCACCGGGAACGATGATATCAAAGGCTGACGGCACCACTCAGCAGAGTCGGAGCCCCAATTATTAAAAAAAGACATCACGATGTGCCTCAACAGGACACTCGAGTGGAAGACAGTAAAGATCACAAGCAGTGGGCTAATTAGAAACACACACCACCCAGTTGAACTGCACATATGCAATGTACAGTTGGACATATATAAAAGTGATCATCACACCTTGAAAGGAAATTCAATCTAGCCACTACCTCAGTCTACCGATCTGCACTATCTACCATCCTGTCTCTCCGGCACTGCGTGGTGGTAATCTAGTGGGCTGACCTGCAGGCCTGACTGTTCCTCTTATTAGACAACCCGTGAGTGTTACCGGCACCCGGGAGTAGGAAATGAATATCTCTTGCGCTGCTGGCAACACACAAACAGAAGTCAATGGAAAGGCAAACATGACCTCGAGGTGAGCGAAAAAGGTGCTTGACGAGTGGTGCTAGAGCAGACGGACAGAAGTTCTCTCAGGGAGGTAGACGTGCACTTTTTTCCCAACACGTATGCGCGAGTGGATTAGCACGGCTCTGTTTTTACCTTCTTGCAAGCGCTGATGGATGAGGCCAGCGTGCTCTCCGTGCTGGCTTCCTCCATCTCAACGGACTCCGAGCCTTCGAACATGGCAGCTGACTGAAAGTTACTGCAAGGCAAAAGGGCACAGAATTGACTTTGTCAGAGTAAGTTTTTGTCAAGTGCTCAACGCTCCATGTTTTTTTCAGATTCGGGTATCAGTGCGGACTGGTTGTCCCTGCCCTGGCTAAGGCAGCAGCCCATCCGATGTCAGATTAGCTAATGCTGTGGAGCTGTGACAGTCTTCCTCTGCGGTCAGACAGGATAATCGTTTAGAATTTGTCTGCTAAATACTTTATTTCATCACCAAGACAATTCAGATTATTCTGAACATTTTTTATTCCTGTTTTACAGAAGAAAATTGACATCTCCATAATTCATTTGGGAACTTCATTAATTTGTTTTTGAATGTCAAGACCCTTTTATCACATATAATACATGAGAAACCATGTGGTGCCTACTTTCTCTGCATGAGCAACCCTTTTGCCAAATACTGTGCATCAAAGCAAAACCAACTCCATGTTGGAGTGAATAGAAGCTGTTTTCAGAAGATTGACAACATTTCTGAATTCTATATTATTGAATGAAGTGCCATTACACAACTCTTGTTTGGATTTAAGTGTCCAAACCTTATGGAAGTGAAAGTAAAGTTTGAATGGTGCAGCAAACAATTCAGGCTTAAAAACAGAGAAATACAACATGTGACCTTCAGTTGGAACATAAAAAAAAATTACTTCACATATATACTGCCAAGGGGATGTCTGTATGACATTGATGAGGCCAAGAAAAACTCAGCAAATCTCAGCACTCAGAGGAAGACATCATTATCCCCATGCATGCTTTCAGAGATAAGGCAAACCAAAGATTATCTGCATTAGCATTAATGACAAACTATTTTGAAATGAAGAGGCTAAGCATACACATTGAAAACTTGAAGTGTGTTTTTTTTTTCTTCCTTGAAGTATAATCCACATATGTCACAGCATATTTCCTTTTAAAGCCTCCCGGGATGCATTTGCAGTTAATGAGCCCGTCCAGCGTAAGCAATTGTACTAGAGTGAGTGATTTAAATAGACTAACAGATATACAAAAACATGTGGAGATAAGTGGATATTATGAGTTTTAAATAGACTGCTGCGTCTGGAAGGGCCACATCAAACAACCCCATCACACAGGCAGGCGCACTTAGCGGCGATTTCCCGGATGCTTTCAGAAGCCTAAACCGACGCAGAGAAAAACGCGGAAAAAATAGAATAAAAAAGCTGATCTATCCGTGGTTCTTTTGAATGTTATTTTTCGAGGGACTGGGAGCGGGGGGCACTTTGGTATTTGTCAGGCGCGACCTTTTTGCGGTCTTTCCGCTCGTCAGCCTCTCCATCACGACACCGTGACTGACAGGTCGGTGCGCTCCTGCACTCGCGGGACTCCAGCTGGCCAACTTGACCAGAGGACACAATTAAGTCCTATTATGTCTGAATGTGAGGGCCACACGGGCCACCTCGGTGCCTGTGATTAGGAGAAATTCCTGCATTGGAGGACAAACAAGCAACTTTTACTGCTAGGCGTCTGATATAACAGCTTCAAACGAGAATTGGATTCCAGAAACTGCATCTTCATGTCATTTTAGCTTTCATTTGAATCCATAAGCCTTGGGAGAAGTGTGAAATCCGTGCATTCGTTTGGGAAGCGTGACTGCTGAGGCGGCCACACGCTTCCATCATTCGGGCCAGGCGATCTGACACGTACTGCACAACCAGACTGGTGGAGCTGCACCGTGCCTTTTGGTGCGCTTCTACGGCAAGGAAACGCAAACTGACACGCTGCACGGTCTGTCAAATAAACGATTCTAATCAATACATGGATAATATGGCGCACAGACACATTGCACGCTTTGCTTTGCGGTTGTGAAAAGATCCAACCGAAACGGCTGCAACAACTAGTCACAGAAATCATAGATTCCGTTGAATAATGCCGTGAATAATCAAAGTTTCAATACAAATGATAAAGAAAACACAGTGAAATAAAACAATGAATGAAAACAATTAAATTGCCCGCAGAGACCTGATTATTTGTTTTTTGGAATAGGCGCCAATGCGCATCTGCGTTTGTTTGGAATTCCGAAGGAAATGTAGCGTCTTACCTCGGTGTTTTCAAAAGGCACTTTGCTCCTGCCATTCTGAGAAAAATGCTCGAGCTGTCCTCAGCCGCTTTGATTTGTTACTCTGTGTGGGCTTGGGAACAGGGAGAGCAGTGGAGACCCTCGACGCGTAATCGTCCCAGGGACACTCTGGTCCAGCTGCGCATCCCCGTCCGCGTACTACAGGAATCCCAAACAGTTTGACCGTGACGGGAGGATGTCTGTGAGGAAGTGTGAGTCCCGCGGTGTCAGCAACAGTAGCAGCAGTGCTCTACTCCGCGTATATGTCCACTGAGAGCCAGGCAAAAGCGCCAGAGCCCAAACACCGAACGGACCTAATGAGCTGCAAGACGCAGGCAAGGGCACGGCGCAGGTTAACGCAAACACGCCTACAAAGGGATTCACGCACGTTTTGCGACATGTTATGATGTACTATTCATAACGCAAGTTGGTTCATGGCAAACAGAAGTTAATTTACAAATGTAGCTGATACGGGACAAGGGCAGCTTTCAGTTAGAGTTGTTACCTGTAAAACAAACAGACAAACCAACAAATGTTCAGCCTTTTTCTTCTTCCTGGTTTGTCTATAACAGTCACTGCGCTGTTTATGCACCATCCGGTGTCGTTTTTGACCGATCAAGTGATTAGGAGGTTGTGACTTGTTTTTTGGAGAAAAACAACTTCTTGAATGAAATAGATATTCTGTGGCTGGGCTGCATCAGTAGTTACAGGCAGCACCACCAAAACCCAACCCACAAAGAAGTATTTTCATAGTTTTGTAGAGCTGCAAGTGACTGCTTGGACTGAGCAGAATTGTGCTGGGGTTTGTCATTGTAAACCACTGTTGGACTAATATCGGTCACCTTGCACATTATTTTGCTCTGCGTGAAGCTATGACATTTGTGGGTCATTCTATCCGTCTCTGCAAAGCAAGGCTTTTATGTTAAGAGACCCTTGAGAGTTATATATCTCAATTTTCTGTAAGCCTCTCCTTGGTCCATTATGGGTGTAACTACGAAACTGAAACCTCTATTATCTGCAGGGCAAAGCTAAGGAAGGAGAAGGTAGGAGTCCCAAATGGAAAAAAGACAATAAATGGATTTGTGAACCCCCATAGTAGCTAAAGTACTGGTGTTCACTTGTGTTAAAAGTGTTATTTTTGCTTCTGAAAATGCTTTTCATGCTCAAAGGAATCCGATTTGTTACGCTGCTTCTATGGTACTTCTACAGTATTTGTTTCCCTTTGGGTGGCATTTGTTCCCATTCAACACATAATAATGACAAAGACCATTTTTGTGATCTTATTGAATCAGTGTAGCACACAGAAACCACAAGAGTTGACATTCTTGGATATTTCAACTTCATTCAAAAGCAGTTGAATCGTATAAGGTCATTTGATTTGAAAAGTTTTAAATTTTCTTTCAATGGTGATTAAATGCCTTCCCAAAAATTGTGCAGATGGTAAAACGACAGATAAACAAATCTTGGACTAAAAGATGCATATTTTTTTATCAATCTGATTTCAAGGCTCATTCTGAATTTTGACTATAAAGTCTAAATATGAAAGCTTAATAAGTCAACTCAAAGCTTGCAACCAACAATTGACAAACTATAGATTATTTCTCAATAGCTGAGTTGACCTGATAGATATTATACATGCTAAATTAGTTTAAATCACTACAAGACGTCTTACACTGTAGCATATTTTTTCAAACAAATTTTAAGCCAAAATGTAGAGGCTGTCTGGCAATAGCTCAATGCACCTTCCCATTGTAGCAAGAGAGTGAGAAGCACTCTGATGCAGTCAATCAAACACGAAGTGGAAGTCCAAAATTTGTCAAAAACAAAACACAGCATGTCAGCATGTTGTAGACTTTAATGATGCAGACTCATCATACAGACATTGAATTTATCACAAATTCCTTCGTCCTCTAATGTTAAATGAGAGTCCATGTGTGTGACAAAGAAAATGTCTGCAAGTGCATAAATAATGGCTGGCAAATAAAACAATCAAGGTTTTGCTTTTAGTCATCCAATACCATGACATTAACCCAGCTAAAATAATTTGATTAATGAGCTGAACATGAGTAAACAAATGACTCTCGTGAGCCAGAATTCCTCCACAACCATGTGAGAGACTGAGAACACAAATAAGAAAACACTTACTTGAAGTTGTTGCTGCTAAAGGTGATTCTACAAGCTGTTGCGTCATGTTGGGTGTTAGTGTGTCACACGCTGCATCTGCATTTTGGCTTAGCTATTGTTAAATAAGCAATGATACAGCAATATGCCTCGTATTGTTAGTTGTCTTTTTAGCCTGATTTCAAGAGTGAAGATCAGCCAACTAATTTATTTCACCTTACTCCATACAAGTGCATGCCCTCAGCTGAGCCATATTGTTGTTAAAACCTAAGAATAATATTAAGAAGACTAAACGGCTTGCCTAAGGAGCCGAGACATGAACAAATTAAAAGTAACAGCAAGGACTGTCAGATTCAGCATGCCAATCCTATATCTAACACCGAGTGAACACTTATTCATATTTCTTTTTTTTTAAGCTAATATATGAAATCAAATAAATTACATGGAGTTCATTCCTTTTTTTTATTTGAACTATTTAGCACAAGGTCATTATTTGGAAATTTCTAATTCATTAAATCATGATAAATTAAGATCGTAAACAGAAAAATGTGTATTACACACAATACAGTGGCTGAAGTTTTGAACAGGGCATAAGTTTGGTTTTGGCGTAACAGGAAAAACTAATATAAGTTTTGTTGTCTGGTGGTAGGCATGACAGACCTTTAAAGGTTATCCAATTATGAAATCATCACAATCCACTCCATCGCCTACACCACCTCAATAAACATGTCTGATAAAGTAGATATACCAGACAGCCGGACATTTTTATGATTTAGTGCGTGGCATATTC